TTTACAACTAAGGAGAGGCTGTGGGAAGCGATTCCAACACTGATGAAGGCTAAGGAGGCAGCACATGGACATGTTTTCTGTGTACACTGCTGGTCAAAGACTGCTAGGTGTGAGGCTGTAGGTTATTAATTAGCCATCATACCTTCTGTGTTTCCATGTGTAGACTAAGAACCAGAGGTCTAAAGGAAATGTGGGTTACTTCCTTCCCAATAATTCACTTCCTTTCTAGCATTCCTGGTGTTTTTGTCAGCTTTTTTCACCCTGTGACCAAAAGACTGACAAGAACAATTAGAAGAGGAAAAGTTTATTTGGGGGCTTATGGTTCCAGAGGCCTCAGTCATCTGGCTCCATTGCTCTGGACCCAAGGTGTGACAGAACATCATGGCAGAAGAGTGTGGTGGAGGAAAGTAGCTCAGAAAATGGCCACCAGGAAGGGGAGAGAGACAGGGAGACAGAAAAAAATATCTAATCTCCAGGGACAAAATATGTGCTCAAAGGCACATTTCCATGAACCTACCTCTTCCAGCCCCACCCTACCTGCCTACAGTCACCACCCAATTAATTCCTATCAGGGGATTAATGTGCTAATTAGATTAAGACTCTTATAACCCAATCATTTCATGACTAAACATTCTTATCTGACTCATGGACTTTTGGGGATGACTGTAACAGCTGGCTGTTATTATATTATATTGTGTGTTTCCTCCCCCCTTCTTTTTCTTTATACATTTTGGGAGGCAGACAGCCATATGGGCAAAATTAAAGGCATGTGTATTGTAGAGCAATCTCAATAGGAATCTACTCCATCAGGTCAAAGTGGGTTGAAATTTTCCTACCTGCAATTCTTCAGAATGCCAAACTTTGATTGCTAAATTACCATTATTGTGGTTTTAGGGATTGAATCTAGAGAAGCTTCATCCCCACCCCTTTTAATTTTTTAAAAATTTACAGACAGGGTCTTGCTAAATTGCCCAGTCTGGCCTTGAACTTGTGATTCTCCTACCTTAGCCTCCAGAGTAGCCGGGACCCCCATCCACCAAATTATTTTAAAAAGCTGTGAATCTCAAAGGTGTTAAGCAAAGCATATATAACTTTGGAATCTACTGACAAACATTATTAACACTCTTTGAATTTTATCTAGAGAAGCAATCTTTTTTTTTTTTTTTTTTTGGTATTGGAGATTGATCCTAGAGGTACTTAACCTCTGAGCCACATCACCAGCCCTTTTTCATTAGAGATGTGGGTCTCATTGAGTTGCTTAGTGCCTCACTAAGTTGCTGAGGCTAGCTTTGAACTTGTGATCCTTCTGCCTCAGGCTCCTGAACCGCTGGGATTACAGGGGTGTGCCATAGTGCCCAATTTTGAGTCTGCATTTTAAGTATATATCGTGACAACAAATTATACTCAGCTATATGAAGTAAAATGCTTTTTAGTCATACTGTAGTTTAAGGCATGTAATGATAAAATTAAGAAATCTTGGGGTGGATATAGCTCAGTTGGTAGAGTGCTTGCCTTGCATGCACAAGGCCCTAGGTTCAATCCCCAGCACCACAAAAATAAACAAACAAGCAAGCAAACCCAGATTATCTCTGGTTATATATCAAAATGTTTTCTGTTAGATTGAATAAAATAAAATCAAAAACAATTTCAACTGTTTTTACTTTTGTGCCTGTGATACTGGTAATTGAACCTAAGACCAATTCATACTAGACAAGCATTCTACCACTGAACTTTTTTTTTTTTTTTTGGTACCAGGGATTAAACCCATGGTTGCTTAACCACTGAGCCACATCCTTGCTAAATTGCTGAGGCTGGCTTTGAATTCATGATCCTTTTGCCTTAGCCTCCTGAGCCACTGGGATTACAGGCATGTGCCACTATACCCAGCTACTGAACACTTTTTTTTTGAGGCAGGGTCTCATTAAATTACCTAGGCTGGCCTCAAATTTATAATCCTCACTATGCATGATGGTGTGTGCCTATAATCCCAGTGATTACAGAGGCCTAGACAGGAGGAACACTTGGCAAGAAAGACCCTGTCTCAAAATAAAAACAAAAAGGGCAGGAAATGTAGAATTGTAGCTCTGAGTTCTTTGGAAGACTGCCTCTGGGTTCAATTCCAACGTGTTAAAAAAACCTTTTTTTTGATCCTCGTTTCAGCCTCCCAAGTTGTATGCCACACTGTCTAGCTTCCAACTGTTTGCTTTTTAACCCATATTGTCCCATTGTTTCAGATGTATAACACACTTTAAAAAACTTATAGTACATAATCATATATCATTAATTATATATCAATATCAATAATTATTAACCAGAACTATGTAATATTAACACAACATATGGGCTCTGAATTATTATTTCCAACCTATTTTAACACGCCTGTATAAATTTCATTGAAATATGGCAGAATTGAAAACTTGGTACACAATGGATTAATGTGGCTAAAAACTTTTAGATTAATGTGGCTAGTCAGGTCATCAGACATCATTATCTATCCGATTCGTTAGTCTGAAGTGCACAAGAAAACTGAAATGCATGGCTTGATCACATTCATAAGAATTTTATCCCTTAGTACTCTTCTGCCTCATCTTGGGCCCAAAGCAATGGAGTTGGCTGACCATGGACTGAATCTCTGAAACCATGAACCAAAATAAAACTTTCCTCCTCCAAGTTGTTCATGTCAGGTGTTTTGGTGACAAAAATCTGACTAAAATAGTGACAATATGTATGTGCTTTTTGTTATCTTTTGAGAAATATCTTTTGCCTGTTTTCTAATTGGGCCATCTGTGGTTGATTGGTTTGTTGGTGCTGGAAATTGAATCCAAGGGCACTTAACCACTTAGTTATATCCCTAACCATTACTTACTGTTATTTTGGGCACTAGGGATTGAACCCTGGAGTACTTAACTGAGCCATATCCCCATCCCACATATTTTTTGAACGCTTTAAAAATTTTTCATGGCTTCATACTTTTGTAGTTATAACATCAAATTTTGGAAATAAACTCAATCTTACAAAGTTGCAAGAATGTAAATAACAGAAAATGCTTATAAGCTGTTTGCTCAGAATCACCTACCTCTACTGATGTTTCACTCCATTTGCTTTATCATTTTTGTGTTCTCTCTCCACATACACATAATTTTTTTCTGAGCTTTTGGAAAGTAAGTTGTATGTATCCAGGCCTTTTACCCTTAATACTTCAGTAATGTATTTCCTAAGAATATTCTTTTGCAAAACTACAGTAAGATTAATACTTTGGATCACACTGACGGTCTATTACAATTGTCTGTTGGGACTCAATAATGTCCTTTATAGTTTTTTACACTGCCGGTACAAAATTCAATCTAGGAGTTCTGCATTAGAATTTGTCTTTGAACTTGCGCCATTATTTAGAACTGACAGCGGTTTTGATGTGTGCCTTGTCTTCACTGTAACAACACAACATCAGTATCAGTTCAGCAGTCTTTAGACCACGATAATGCTTTTATCCATGTACTCAAGAAAGGTCCCCCTTTTTCATCTTATTCTAAACCTTTTAGACAGATAGGTTGTTAGATTTATTTATGTCAGGTCTTTTTGAGATTTGGGGATACCAAAGAAATGGTTGTCTGTCACAGTTCCCATTCAGTTAGTCTGGTCACCAAATATAAACTGAGGTTCTATTCAGTGGATCAGAAACAAATGGTACACTGACCCACTTGAGCCATTATGTGTTCACTATTGTACAATACCCTAAGCCTGCAAGAATGCAAAAGACCCTTTTTGTGATTAATACCTAGGATCATAAATGTAAAACAATATTATAAAACAATTATCCCTTAGTATAAACAGTAGTTTGTGATCTATTTAATAATTGTAGCCAATAATGCTTAGCAGCATATATGGAATGCTTGTGGCTTAGTATTATCAAAGTCTACTTTTAGAGCAAAATTTAAAAAGACTTGTAAAAGGGAGAAATGAGTTGGCAAGAATGAAATCATGATGTCCATAGTTAATGTTATTTTTTTCCATACCAGGGGCTTAACCACTGAGCTACATCCCCAGACCTTTTGAAACAGGGTCTTAACAGGCTTAACAGGTTGCTTAGGCTAGCCTTGAACATCTGCTCTTTCTGCCTCAGCTTTCTGAGTAGCTGAGTTTAGAGGCTTAGGCTTATTTTAAAGGCTTCTAATTTTTCGTCTCCAAATATGTGCTGAGGGTTGGTGGTTTTCTAGGGCAATTCTTTTCCAGGACTGTCATTATCACGACAGAAGGAGACTGTTTGTTGGCTTTTAAATGTTCTCACATGAAGAGGTCATAATAATCTATGTTTTCAAGTCATATCACCCTCCCCTCCCTTATTCAGAGAGTGCAGTAAACGCCTTTGCCATAAGAGAACACAAGTTTAGCATTTCAGACACTCAAAACCTGACACAAATACTCTTCCCAAGTATGTTACAAAAATGAGGTGGAAAAAAAAAATCAAGCGAAGACTCTTCCCTTATGTTGACAGTAACTGTGGACACAGCTGCTCAATTATGTGGACACAGCTGCTCAATTACCTATTGTAATCTTTTCACTTGCACCTTATGGTTACCTATTTCTATAGTTCATTATGCACAGAGCATACCTGTGGCTACACTTTCTGCTATCTTCTTAGCTTTTTAAAGGACATAAATATTTACCATACATTATAATACAAGATATTTTTTGTGTTTCTAAGAGTTTACATCAACATGATTCTGCAACCTGTACAATCAGAAAAATGAGAAATTATACTCCATTTGATTCAAATGTATGAACTGTCAAATCACTGTACTGTCGTGTGTAACATAATAATAATAATAATAATAATAAAAGAGTTTACACCAATTCTGAAACACCTGGAATACTGTTTAAAAATTAAATCTGGCACCTAGTAGCTCAACCCACTTCTATCTGCTGGAATCCCATCTATTACCCACTATCTCTGCAAACCCAACTTTCCCCTCCCCTTTCAGAGTAACAAGAAACAACAAATATTTTAAGTGTACATCATACATTTATTACCAACAACCCTCTCAACTCCAAAATTGGGCACAGGGATTAAAAATAAAAATTCATTGCACTACTTAGTAAAGCATTACTAGTAACTTTCATAAAAAATGTACAAACTTTGTTAAAAATTTATCAAGCCTTCAAATGATTTGGTTACAGATATTTATAATACGTACATTTAAAACTATATGTTAACTGATACAATGGAATATGATTTGAGGAAATGACTCAGCAAATGATTCCAACAGACACCCCTGTAGCTTTCATAATCTGAAACAATAGCAAAATGAGGTAACCAACAGGGGGAAAATAGCTTTCTAATGAAGGCCTAAAGATATCTGTGAAAAATATTCTCACAAGTGAGTTGGTAGATCTCATTCAAAATTATTACAAGAGGCCCAAACTTAAGAATCTTAAATCACATTTCAGAGAGTATATAAAATCTAAATATACTTTCACATTTTCCAGATTTTGGTTAAAAAAAAAATTTTTTTTCCCCAGGACAAAAAATCCTTAATATGAGATCTTAATCCATGGAGGCCTTGAGTTGTTTTTTTTTTGGGGGGTGGGAATTAAAAACAATACCAAACATGACAATTCATACCAAAAAAACAAATAAACCAAAACCCACAAAAAACCCCACAGCTGAGTTAAGATGGTAAAGCCAATGTTGTTTTAGGAGGAAAGAGGATAAAGGCAACAAACCAACATCTGCCTGCAATCTGGACATCACCAGTGGTAACAGCTGGGCAAGAAATCAACTGTTCTTTCTCATATGCTAGACACTCACTGTGTCTAGTTGCTCACTGTGGCTAGTCTGAGCTGGTTAGAACACACACACACGTGTGCTCCTAATATGCACTAACCACTTGGTAAGCAAGTCTGGACACTTCTCTAAGAGCTCCATGCAAAGACAAGGCATTCCCCAAGAGATCAGCTACAACAGTGCAACAATTAAACTCAGACCCTGCTGCCTCCTAAATTGCCAACTGCCTCTCAAAAATTTACTAGAAAAGGGACATTACAACAGGAATTCATAGTCAGAGGAAGGGGAGAAAAAGCTACTTCTCCTGAAGTCATTAGTACAATGTGCCTTGTTAATTAGATATCTCTATATAAATTAGAAAAAGTGCTTTAACTTGCATGCTTCAGTAAAATGAATACTGAGTGTAGTAGTGTTATGTTAGATCTGTACAGATATAAATTTTTGTAGCTATATAAAAGAAGTCTATAAGATGGGTTTTTGCCATTTTAAACATGATTTTTTTTAATTAAAAAAAAAGATAAAACTATACGTGATTTGTATGTAGCTGATTATTATATGCCAATAATTTTGGTCTTAAACATACTTTTTACTCTTCAGGAACAGGAGGGGAATTATCCTAATGATTTAACAGTAACATGTGCATTTTACCACTGTTTAGGTATATTTCTGATGCACTGACAAATCTAGGGGCAAAGTATGCAAAATCCTATTTGTATGATTAGATAGAGGCAACAGTGTCTGGAAGAGGACAAAATTGTGCTTCTGTGTGAATTGACTTTACAGAACTCTAGGCTGTGATGAGCTTATAGATTTCAAGGGAGGGCAAGCAGCATGGCAGTAACAAGTAGTTAACACTGTCTGAGTACAAAACTGACTCAGAGCCAACTGAGAGCTGAGTGAGGCTGGCAACAAGTTCTCACAGTCCCGACTAGAATAATGTAGCATGTGCTACTGCAAACAAAGCAATGACATCAACTGCAGGAGGAGGCAGACAATGCTGAATACACTAAAAGAATGAGAAAGGAATCTAAATGTTGCTGGAAAAATGACTTTAAACAATCTGAATTTCGCTCAATGAACCTATTAAAAAAATACAGCTATGTATTATTTCAGATCAACTCAATGAGGGTCAATTCCTGTTTGACAGCATTATTTTATACAAAAATCAAATCTTCATTTATACTGCAAGTATTCTGGACATCTGTTGTATTAAGCTTTTTCTTAATCAAACAAAAATTAAAAGAGCGGCAAGACATCAAAGCAAATCAGGTCTAAGGAACACAAGCTGTCAAAACACTTGATCCATCCTGAAACAAGGGCTTCAAAAAGAAGCACATTTACTGAGGGAAGAACTAAGACAACTTTCAGAATTGGAGCTTGGCAAGTGAATTAATATGAACAGAAAAAGTTTTCTTGAAATAATTTAGTTGCCTATGGGAGCCTGAACAAAGAACACATCGGAAATCAAGCTGAATTAACAGATTTTGTTCTGGTGGAAGTCAAAGAGGCAAGACTTCATGGGACCAGTGGTATTCTTAAAAATATATTACTCATATATCTTCAGAAAGGACTATAAATCTAAACACACACACACACACACACACCTATACAAAGAAAAAATTAAAAAAATCATCACAGGTACTTTCTGTAAGAAGCTTACTGAAAATGTAAAAGAAAAAAGTTATCAACATTCAAATCATTGATTGAAATGCTAATATTGCTAACAGATGATGTATGATATTGCACCTTCTTTTTGGAAACAGCAAGTTGGAGATTTAAAAATTTCTTTTCCACAACAGAATCAAAACTCAGGTTCATGGAGTGAGAATTTGTTACACTTTTTTTCTTAAGTGACCCACTTAGGACCACCAATGAAGAGAAGGTGACAGCTGCCTGAAGCAAAGGAAGAAGGCTTTTCTCATTCCATTCATTAGGAGGAAGGGATGGAGTATTCAATGCTTATAATTGATGCACCCTTAGCAACCAGTGTGCAACAGCAAACACAAGGGGAAAAACCAGTGTACAGTACTAGTGCTGTTTAAATAACACACCAGATTATACATTGCAGCATAATTAAAACTACACACACATTCTTGGTACATGCTGGTATATAGGATCTCATACACACGTTAGCTACCATGCCCTCTCACAAGTAGTTGCACACACTCTCACACACACAGATACATTTATCAACAGTCATACGCTGCATTCATTTCCACTCACAGTTTCTGAAGGCTCTATATAAGGTAGATTGCTATATCATCTGGAGCTACCACTTTTTATAAAAGCACATGCTAAAAGATCACGTCCACTGTAATCTTGCAGCAACACTCGGAATGATCACACAAAAAACCAGGGAATGTTAGTGCACACACAAAATTAAGCTAAAGAAAAATTCTTTGGAGTTCCAATCACACGGTTAGTATAACAATCCCATAATTGTGAAGACTAATTGTAAGCTTTTATAGTTGATTAAGTCACACAGTGCAAAGAAAGGTCCATTGACCCTTTTGGTAAAGGGAGGGCTGGAAGCCACACAGATTAAGTTCAATGGATAGTCCGTATATACATGTGATGAGGAACACCCAAACTAAATTTGTGCTCTTAGGTTGGTCATTCTGAATCCCGATGCACTTCTGAAGCATCAGCTCGGCAAATTGGGCAAGTACGATTTGCCTAAAATACAAAAGAGAAACTTGTTTGCATTGTGGTTCATACAGTGAAATTTATTAAAAACAAATAATATTATTTTTACTTCCAACACAAGTTTTAGACACTTTGTTCTTTTAAAGAGGCACAAAGTAATCATGTGCCTTAAAACAAAACAAAAAAGAAAGAAAACAAACCTTAAAGAGTTGATTATCCCATGGATGATCTTTTTTTTGGGGGGTAGCACTAGGGCTTAAATCCTGGGGGACTGAGCTCCATCCCCAGCTCACCCTTATCCCCTTTTTAATTTTGAGACAGAGTCTCGCTAAGTTGCCCAGGCTGGCCTTGAACTTGCCGTTCTTCTGCCTCAGCTTCTTGCCATAAATGATTTTTTAATATGTCTGTTTAAATACATAAACAAAATTACCCAGCACCAGTTTAGATATATTTAATAACTAACTTAAAAGTAAAGGGAGCTCTAGTGAGGCACCCTTCTAAACTAAGAGGAAACTCTGGCCTAACAAGTTCAGGTGTTATCCTTATATACTATCAGAAAATCAGGACAAGTTGATTATCAAGGGCAGATAGCCAGTTTTTAGGTTTTGTATAATCACTCCCATGTTAATCACCATAGCAACCCCATCCTCCCTGTGCTGGGAATGGAACCCAGGGCCTCATTCATGTTCCACCACTGAGTTATATCCCCAATCCCTAAGTTTCACTGGCCTTTTCTCTTCATCTGAAGAGATAATACTCTCAATGTTGTATTTCAATTTTATTTCCTATACCCATCCTCCACTAAACCACAGACTTATCTAATGAACCTATAGTCACTAAAACAGAAAATTTAGTGTTATTTCCTTTTAGATACTGTCATTTTACCTTAAGCCATTTGTCAACACACTTGGCATGGAACTCGTGGTTACAGGGTAAGACTCTAAGTAGCTGCCTTGACTCAAAATCACACATGCATACTACACACCTAAAAGAAGCAAAAAGATCAATTAAACATAAAATTGGGTGGTTTTCTATTTTGAAATGACTTCTGAAGTCTACAAAAGCCACTTAATCAGTCTCAGTTTTTTATCACTGAAATTTGTAGACAAAATAATCTATCAACCTGAAAAACAATGATGTTAAGGCATTTAGTAAGAGTGCTCTGCTTTACTGATAACTGATCAGAAAATCTCTGGCTAACATCCAAATCAAGTTTTAAAACCAAAAATACTCTTTGCACATGAAAAAATGAAGGTAGATGTCCCTTTAACCTCACACCATATATAAAAATTAACTTAGGAGGCTAGACAAGAAGATTCCAAGTTCAAAGCCAGATTCAGCAATTTAGCAATGTCCTAAGTAAGACTCTTGTCTCAAAATAAAAAAAATAAAAAGGGCTGGTGCTGAGCATGGTGATACACACCTGTAATCCCAGCATGTCAGGAGGCTAAAGTAGGAGGGCTGCAAGATCAAAGCCAGCCTCAACAACTCAGTGAGGCCCTAAGCAACCTAGTGAGACCCTGTCTCAAAATAAAAACATTAAAACACACACACACACACACATAAAAAAAAAGGCAAGTGGATGCTGGGGATGTGGTTCAGTGGTTAAGCACCTCCAGGTTTAATCCCTAGTACCAAACACACACACACACACACACACACACACACAAAAGAAAATTTTAAAAATGCTCAACAGTAACAGGCACCAGGGAAAGGAAAATTAAAATCTCAGTGTGATACAATTTCAAAGTCACTAGGACAATATGATAAAAACAGACAATAACAAATGCTGGCAAAAATGCAGTGAAATTGAAACCTTTTTATACAGTGTTGGTAGAAATAGAAAATGGTGTAACCAACTTTGCAAAAACTGGCAGTTCTCAAAAAGTCAAACACAGTTACAATATGACATCCAACAATTCATTTCCAGGTATATATCCAAAATTAAAACATTATATTCACAGAAAAACCTGTACACATATGTTCAAAGTAGCATTACTCATAAGAGCCCCAAAGTGGAAACAACACAAATGTACATCAACTGAAGAAAAGGATAAACAACATGTAGTGATCCACAAATGGAATATTATTTGGCCACAAAAAGGAGTGACTTACTGATAAAGCTACAACACAAAGGTACTTTGAAAAAGTTATGCTAAGTTAAAGAAGCCAGATACAAAAAGACCACATATTATATAATCTCATTTATGTGAAAGCTATGGAGACAAAGGGTTAGGGGGTGTGTCAAGATAGAGAAGGCTAGGGAGATAAGGGGAGTGGCTACAAGTGGGTGAAGGATTTCTTTTGGGGGTGATAAAAAGGGTGTAAATTTGTGGTGATGGATATACAATTCTACTAATACAATAAAATTCACTGAATTGTATATTTTAAATGGGTGAACTTTGCATTTCATGTTCTACATTAACACCTTTAAATATAGCAGTCAGTATCTAGTATGCCTAAGAAATTAATTATTTATCTATGTATTGATCTATTTATCTGACAGTACTCTAGTCTAGCCCAGGGCCTCACATATGCTAGTAGTTAAGTGCTCTATCACTGAGGCTTAAATCCCCATCCCGTTTTAAAATTTTACTTTCAGACAGGGTCTAAACAATTTGCCCAAGGCTGGCTTTGAACTTGTGAATCTCCTGCCTCAGCCTCCTGAGTAGCTTGGGTCACAGGTGTGTGTGTGCACACCACAAACCCAGGAAGAAATTTAACAGTTTCACTGAATTTAAATAGCTCCACAATTAGTGGCTACCTTACTGGTCAGCATAGACCCAGAGTATGAAAAAGAGATAACTTATCTTTATATCAAGTTCTGAGTCTCAAGCGTTTATTTCATGAAATTTTTCTTTAAAGAAAAAAAGTTAACACATATATTAGAAAAAAAATATACTTACAAAGTCTGTTCTGACTGGTGATTGTTAGGATTAAACCGATAAGAAGGAAGTTGTTCAATATCTGCTTTAGTCAGTCCTCGAGGTTTAGCCTCTCCCAGTCGCTCTGCCAGGTTTAAAAGGGCCTGTAGAGAAAAGACAGGGCTGTTTGCTCAGGCTGGCCTCAAACTTGTGATCTTTTTTTTTGGTACTGGAGATTAAACCTAGGGGTGCTGAACAAGTGGCTTGTGAATTGTGCCCAGCCAGACTGCGGCAGCTTTGCTAAGTTGCTTAGGGCCTTGCTAAGGTACTGAGGCTGGCTTTTGAACTTGCCATCCTCCTGCCTCAGTCTCCCAAATCACTAGGGATTACAGGTGTGTAAAATGGCACCAGGCTTCTCCCAGTTTTTAATGACTAATTAGCTATTTTCTTTATTCTATAATTAGGCTGCCTTATGGTTAAGGGAACAGGAAACAAAGAATTAGAAATGGGCAATGAGAGGAATAGAATTAATTTCCGTATCTAATGCTGGTATAGCTCTGTGTGTGTTTTAAGACAATAATCACAGCTTTGCTTTTTGACAGCCTTATTTGGAGAATTGGGTCATCTGAATAAATATCTGCCTTTCACTGCTATACTCAACCCTTCTAAATGCTATAACACATTAAGTCTAACTGAGGCTGATTATAAAATCAGCATAAAAAATTTAGATCAAATTCATGATAGAGTTGATATGCATCTTAACACCTCTATTGTTATGTATTATAGGATATAGTATGTCCTATATAGTATATAATTGTATGACAATAAAATATCCTCATTCATTCCTTAGTGGATACAGAGTGATGATCAAGCCCTCCAAAAATTTACATGATGCAACAGGCAAGACAACTGAAGGCAAGACATGATTAGTGCTTAAATCTCAGTAGAACAAAAAGAGAGAACTCGTTTGGACCCAGGAAATAGATTAGAAATGTTGTTCACAGGGCCAGGGTTGTGGCTCAGTAGTAGAGAACTTGCATAGTTATGTGTGAGGCCGTGAGTTCAATTATCAGTACTGCATATAAATAAATGTTAAAAAAAAAAAAAAAGAAATGATAATCACAAAGATGGCGGTTTTTATGCTATATTTCCAAAACATAGAGAAATGGAGAAAGATCTTAGCCGAAGGATCAAGGGAAGTAAAGGTACCAAGACAAGAACATGTAGGGTAGACTGGGCATGTAGGGACTTGGAGTGGGGAAGCCATCTGGATCGAGCCAGTGAGCCAGGGCTGGGGAGTGTTCAACAGCTACACTATGACATACAACTAAAAAGGCAAGTAAGGCCTTTTTGATTGGTTGTAAGTATGACTTTGAAGAATATCAAAATATTCAACCCAAAAATACAGTTTAGAAAGGAATTTCAAAGTCAAAATAAGATATTTTTCCATTTTTGGTACTGGGGGTTGAACTCAGGGGCACTCAATCACCAAGCCACATCCCCAGGGTTTCACTGAGTTGCTTAGTGCCTTGAAATTGCTGAGGCTGGCTTTGAACTTCTGTCTCAGCCTCCTGAGCCATTGGGATTACAGGCATGTGCCCAGCTAAGTCAAAATAAGATATATATTTTTAAATATATATTTTTAGTTGTATATGAACACAATACCTTTATTTGGTTTATTTATTTTTATGTGGTGCTAAGGATCGAACCAAGTGCCTCACACATGCAAGGCAAGTGCTCTACCGCTGAGCCCCAGCCCCAGCCCATATATTTTTCTTATATGACAACTGTACCACTACTTTTCTATTGATATATACATGATCAGCTATCTTTTTCAGCAATATGATTTAAGACAGGTTGATTTTAATAAAGATAAGCCACTTGTAGATATTGCTGTAATGCAAATGGTAGAAATAAAATGAGAAAATTATGAATGCCTCTTTTAATTTCAAGAAATGAAATTTATATGGTATGGTAGCATATGTTTAGAATCCCAGCAACTTGGGAGGCTGAGGCAGAAAGATTCCAAGTTCAAGGTCACTCAGCAACTCATATGAGATCCTGCCTCAAAGTAAAAAGGGGAGGGGATGTAGCTCTGTGGCAGAGTACTAATAAATAAATGCAAACAAAATAAAATTAAAAAGGGGTTGGGAATGCAGCTCATTGGTAGAGTGCTTCCACAGCATGTGCAGGGGGGCCCTGTATTCAATCCCAGTACTACAAAAAAAAAAAAAAAAAGGGCAGTTTAAGATCATGACTCCTTCTCCATGCCCACATTCAATACACCTAAAAACTGTTCCAGCATTCATAAAATGAAAAAGACAAAGTGAAGTTGAGATAAGAAGGATGGCTGGCAGTATCAAATTAAGGTCAAAATTACTTCCACTCAACATATTCAAATCTAAATTTGCCTGTTAACCCTCAAACCACATCTGTTATGTTCCTATAGCAAGATCAACATTATTTAAATGCCAACTATCCACTGGCATTTTGGTGTCTGCCTTCTTCATGGGCTAATACAGTCCTTTTAGTAGAGCATCATCTTTTGTAATTTTTGTACACTTACCCCTGAACACCACAATTAACCATTCAAGATAAAATCCTACTGATTGAAGTGTTAAAACATCTTTCAAAGCTGTACTTTCTTTTATTGTATGTATTTAAAGTACACAATATGATCATTTGATATATACACAGTGAAATGATTACCACTGTCAAGCAAATTAACCTACCCATCACTTTCCACTTCTTTTTGAGTTTTTTTTTTAGTTTGAGTGCCTAAAATCTATTTTCTTAGCAAGTTTACAATTAACAATACAATATTACTAACCACAGTCCTCATGCTATCTACCCCTAAACCTACCCTATCAAATGGCAAGTCTATATATACTTCCCTCTTTACCTCCATAACCAACACTCTACTATTTGACATTTTAAGACTCCTCATGTAAAAAAGATCAGTATTTCTTGCCCCCTCTATATTTCACTTGCCATAATATTTTTCAGATTCATGTTGTCAAATAGCAGCATTTCCCATTTATGGCAGAATAATATTCCACTCTATTTACACTACATTTCTTAAATCTAGTTATCCACTGACTTGCACAAGTTGTTTCCATAGTATGACTATTGTGAATAATGCTGTAATGGACATGATACTTCTACAAGGTGCCAGAAGGATTGCTGGGCCATACTGCTGACAGTCCCTTTTTTAATTTGTTTTTCCTTATGGCTGTACCAATTTACATTTCCACCAACAATATACAAGGATTCTCCTTACTCCGCACCCTATCAATACTTACTTACTTTATTTGATAATAGCCATACCAACAGGTGTCAAGATACATCTCACTGTGATTTTGATTTACACTTCTCTCATAATCAGTGATGTTGAGCACCACTAGTCATTCTTTTGAGAAATACCCATTCAGGTCCATTTTCAATCATGTTATTCAGTTTTGCCTATTGTTGTGAAAGCTACTTATATATTTTGGATATTAATCCTGTATCAAATTGTACAGTTTGTACATATTTTTTCCTACTCCATAGAGTACCTTTCTCAGTTTTCTGATACCACTTCCATCTATTCCTTCATACTGCTAACAGAGTTTTGACTTTTTAAGAGATATGATGCCATAAATACACCAAAAACATTTAGCATGGTACTCAAGGACATCTAATTGAGCTTTTCAATCAAATCTCTGTTTTCTCTCTTTCACTTTAGACACAAACTACGTATGCTAGTCCTCAAGACTTCCCTGCCTCAATCTTACGAATGAAAAAGTTTCCTCATTCTTTAAGATCCAGTTCTCAAACACTTCTACTTCCACAAAATCCTTTTGGAACATCTCAACATCAAAACTTCCCCTGTTCTCATTTGCATTCTCTCAATAGAACTGTGTATAACTCTAACAGAGCATCAAAAGTCTACCTACTTAATACAGATTTAGGGCACGTGATCAAATTAGATGTAGAACACTTTTATGACAAATTTGTATCTTGAAATGCAGTGTTTATCTAATGTTTAGATGGTGATTAGAACAATATTTTCAAGACACAATAATCCCCCAATTAATTCACAATTCATTTAATTCACAATTCATCTACTGACCTCATAATTTTCTACTTCTCCATCTTCCACATCCAATTCAAAGCTGAAAGTTGGGCCCACTGCAGGTGGCACTGGAAGCATTGATCTGCAGTGAAAATAACAGTGATATGTTAGTAAATTCAATGACAGGACAGGAAGGACAAAGCCCAGTGCAACCCTTTATAAATATTAACTTTGCTAGCAACAACAACAAAAAAGATGATAGCAAAGCACACTATTTACAACAGTATTAAAAAACATATATGGGGGCTGAGGTTGTGGCTCAGCGATGGAGTGGTTGCCTAGCACATGCGAGGCCCTGGGTTAGATCCTCAGCACCACATAAAAACAAATAAATAAAGATATTATTATCATCTACAACTAATAAATAAATAAATATTAAAAAAACATAAATGTAAGGATAAATTTCATAAAACATACAAGACTGTGCAATACCAACTGCATAAATACTATTAGGATAAACAGCAATGTATCTTGTCAGTAGACTAGAGGTCTCAAAATTAACTGTTAAAATATCAATTTCCCTTCAAATTGATCTGCAAATTCAATATAATCCCAATCAAAACCTAGGAAGAGTTTTTTTTTCTTTTTAAAGTAGAAATACACTGAATTTAAAAATTTATATGAAAGTGCAAAAGATCTTAAATTGAAAAATTCTAAGAACAAGCCAGAATACTTACATGAAAGACAAAGATAAAGGGGAGGGAAGAGGAACGGGTAATAGGAAAGCAGCTAAAACTATCTGAACAGGATTGGGGTAGTAGCTCAGTGGTAGAGCACTGGCTTAGCAAGTGTGAGGCCTGGGTTAGTTTCTTAGAACCACATAAAAATAAATAAATAAGCGGCTGGGATTGTGGCTTAGCGGTAGAGCGCTCGCCTGGCATGTACGAGGCCCTGGATTCAAACCTCAGCACCATATAAAAACAAATAAATAAAGATATTGTGTCCAGTTACAACTAAAAAAAAAAAAAAATTTAAAATAAATAAATAAATAAAATTCACTATGTCCATCTACAACTAAGGAAAAAAAATATATAAAAATAATCAGAACAAGGTGATACAGGAATGCAGTCTTCTGGTGTAACAAGTACATTTCCTACCTTTCTATGCTAAGTGAAGCTAGCCAATCCCTAAAAAACAAATGCCAAATGTCTTCTTTGATATAAGGAGAGTAACTGGGAACAGAGTAGGAACGAAGAGCATGAGAAGATGATTAACATTAAACAGGGATGAGAGGTGGGAGGGAAAGGGAGAGAGAAGGGAAATTGCATGGAAATGGAAGGAGACCCTCAGGGTTATACAAAATTACATACAAGAGGAAGTGAGGGGAAAGGGAAAAATAATAAAGGGGGAGAAATGAATGACAGTAGAGGGCGTAGAGAGAGAAGAGGGGAGGGGAGGGGAGGGGAGGGGAGGGGGGATAGTAGAGGATAGGAAAGGCAGCAGAATACAACAGACACTAGTATGGCAACATGTAAATCAATGGATGTGTAACTGATATGATTCTGCAATCTGTATACGGGGTAAAAATGGGAGTTCATAACCCACTTGAATCAAAGTGTGAAATATGATATGTCAAGAACTATGTAATGATTTGAACAACCAACAATAAAAAATTAAAAAAAAAAAAGGTAATTATAGACATGTGAATAAGTTCTGGCTAATGGAATATAGGGAGTAATATGTGCTGTGCTACATTTAGGAAATATCCTGGGAAAAGCAGGTATGCAGAGGGACTCTTTTTCATTTTTGCTAGCTGGGAAATGTACATGATGACTAAAATCAGAGAAGCCAGGTTAGATCATGTAGTCCCAAGATTATAATAGCAGAACCATTTCTCACAGTCACAGGGCTAACAAATCACCCTGAATTTGCCTACTGCTAGACTTTAATATGCAAAAGAGAAAAAACAATCATATTTAACTCATGAGTATTTATTACAGGTAAATCTAATCCTAAGACACACAGATAATTCCTAGTCTCCTTTCCCATAAGAGAAATAGCACCAAAAGCTAGATAATCAAAAGTGATAGGAAGTGATGCTAGCTGTTTAAAAAAAAAAAGGCAAAGAACTTCCACTTCTTAATTTATTAAACCTATATTTTTTGGCTCAGAGATATCTTTTCCCCCATTTTCCCCATGTCCTTGGCTCTTTCTTTACTCTTAATGGCTTCCTGACCTCAACCCCCTTAAGTAAAAGCAATATCTAATTAAATGATGAGTCTGTACAGGATTCATAAAGGAAAGAATCTCAAGGTTTTCAAAATTTAGAATTCAATAAAATAAGAAAGAACTTACAACACATATGGCAGTAAGCTGGGATGATAAGGGGGAGGTGGTATTGGCTGCTGAGATCGATATCTACTACGTCCTGTGAGCCTCCGAGGCATAAATGGAGGATAAGGCTGCAGGGAAAAAAGCGTTCAAAGAATTTAAGATCATTCTACATATACAAATAATTAATATATGAAATAAAGATTGTTAAAATGTAGAAAGCTGTTCACTGTTCAAGTGGCATTTAATATTTCTTAAATGTTAACACAGATGTAATAACCAGTTTAAACCATACACTCATGTGCATTTCTAAATATAAATGCTAGCAAGAATACATTTAAAAGCTGGGGCTGAAGCTCAGTGGTAGAGCACTTGCCTAGCATGAATGAGGCATTGGGTTCGATCCTGAGCACCACATAAAAATAAACAAATAAACTGAGGCATTCTGTCCATCTACATCTACAAAAAAAAAAAAAAATTTTTTTTTTTTTTAAAGAATACATTTAAGGGGTGGGCTGTAGCTGAGTGGCAGAGTGCTTGCCTTAGCACACATGAGACACTGGGTTTGATCCTCAGCACCAAAAATAAATAAATAAATAAATAAATAAATAAATAAATAAATAAATAAATAAAATCTTAAAGAAAATAGGCTGGGTGCAGTGGTGCATGCTTGTAATCCCAGCGGCAGGAGGATCGAGTTCAAAGCCAGCCTCAGCAATTTAGTGAGGTGCTAAGCAACTCAGTGAGACGTCTCCCAATAAAATACAAAATGGGTCTGGGGATGTAGCTCAGTGGTCGAGTGCCCTGAGTTCAATCCCTAGTACCCCCACGCCCCCAAAATAAATACAAATAAAAAAATAAACAGTCATTCTGTCCAGTGACCAAAAAAAAAAAAAAAGAATGCATTTAAACTTCTGAACATGTTGAGAGCTACACACTGATACACCTCAAATAATTTGTCATAGTAATGCATAAAAACTTACTACTCCAAAGGACACCTCCTGATGCAAAGGATCATGTGTCAAGAACTGCAAAGGAGCTGATGGAGGTAATGTTGGGGGATGGGCTGATGGGGGATAAGTAAAACTTCCTACTTGAAGATGTTCTCCTAAGAGTTCCACTTCATTTTCTATCCTCTGCAGAGGCTGTAGAGAGAAAAGGAAAAAAAAAAAAAAATGTATATAATTCTAGTGTTCAGATAGAATGTAGACAAATTTTTTTAATAATCAAAACTAAGAATCCAAAAATATCTTTCTGGGGGAGGGGGTATTGTGTATTGAACCCAGGGATGCATTGCTACTGAGCTATATATCTCAGCTCTTTTTAATTTCGAGTCAGGGTCTAAGTTACTTATGGCCTAAGATGCTGAGGCTAGCCTCAAACCTGCAATCCTCCCATCTCAGCGTCTTGAGTTGCTGGAATTATAGACATGTGCCACCGAACCCAGCACAATCCAAAAAAATACCGTTAAGGCCATACATCTATTTTTCCCTCCCCTACCCAGTGCAAGAGATTCAATCCAGGGCTTTGCACATGCTACACTCCTAGCCCAAGGCCATCTATCTCCTGATGTTCACACATCATTCTAAAATCCACACAAGTGGAAATAAATTATAGTAAAATCTTTCTACCATCAATTTCAATAGAAAATCTCTGAAACAAATTTTTAAAGGATTTTCATTACAGGATTTATTTCATTTACTATTTGAACATTCTCTTAAAACGAGAAAAAAAAGTCACATACTAAGACAACCTCTCTCGGATGAAATAGAACATGGTATGTATTCATAAGTCAGAAAACAGGGCTAAATGCTGGGCATGGTGGCACACACCTGAAATCTGAGAGACTCAGGAGGCTAACCTTAGCATATTAGCAAGACCCTGTTCTCAAAATAAAAAGCTCTGAGGATACAACTCAGTGGTAGAGCACCCCTGGGAAAGGGGGAAAAAAAAAAAAAGAAAGAAAGAAACAGGGCTAAATGCAATGAAGTACAGTAGCATTATGCTATAGTAAAAAGACTACAGGCTTTTTGACATTAGAATCTTGGCACTGTCACCAATCAGCCATGTGACTTAATCCACACCTCAGTATTGTAATTTATAAAACTGACAGGATGAAATGTTCACAACATACTTCTAAAGTATACTGTGAAGCCAGGTGTAGTGGTGCATGCCTGTAATGTCAGTGACTTGGGAAGCGGAAGGTAGGAAGATCAAAAGTTCAAGGCCAGTTTCAGTAACATAGTGAGGACTTCAGAAACTTAGACCCTGTCTTTAAAATAAACAAACAAACAAATAAATAAGGGCTGGGTTATGTAGCTCAGTGGTTGAAGGCCCTGGGTTAAATCCCCTCTACCCCCATCCCAAAGTCTATTTTGAACAAAGCCAATGTACGATATGCGCTATTCCAACCACATAGGACATTTATTGGAATATAATTAACACAACTTTAAAAGAAGTACAACTCAATGGACTTGGGTCATCCATCTTGTAGACTGCATCAACACTTCATTCTGTTCTAAGGTTCAACAGTATTCCATTGTATGGAAACATCATTCATCCATTTATCAGTGGATAGACATCTTGACTCTCTTGACTTTTTAGCTACTGGGAATAATGTTGCTGTAAACGCGTACACATTTATGTGATGATGTTTTAAATTCAATTCTCTTGGGCAAATATATAATTTTACATGTTACTTTGACTCCTTTCAAAGCTCAGTTACAGAATAAGCAACAATTACTAATACTTTAATTTGGAAGTTTATGCATACTTGAGAAAAATCACAACTACTTACACTATGACAATACCAATGAACCTAAGTTCTACTTTGGTTTTATGACTGAACCTTTCAAAGAATTCCAAACTTAAATACAAGTGACAAAATTTTACTTAAACCTCAAATTCCCAGATACAGGAGGACTAAGTAGGAGGATAATTTAGGCATGAACCCTATTCTAATTCCAGGAAAAGACTTTTTTAAAATATATTTATTTTTGGTTATAACAATATCTTTTATTTTTATGTGGTGCTGAAGATCGAACCCAGTGAGTGCCTCATGCATGGTAGGCAAGTGCTCTACCTCTGAGCCACAACCCCAGCCGGAGAAAAGATTTTCTTATAGAAGCAGTTTTAACTTTTCAGATGAGCCAAACTTCAATCATAATTGTTTCTATACTTTTCAGGAGAACTAAGAGGTTAAGTGAGTTCACCTTCTTTGGTACTCAGAATGGTGCATAACTCCTTAGTAACAATTGTTAGGTTCTGCTATCCAAGACGGTTAGATTCCTTTCACAGAACTGAACCGAAATCTTTAAAACAAACAATTTCCACAGGTTATTTTTCCAATTTTCCCTTAATGCTTAATGGTTTACATGCCGAGTTTGGCCTGACCAAAAATCATTTGGACCTTTTCATTTCTGGTGGTAATAGGGAACCCAGGGGGGCTCAGCCACTGAGCTCTACCTGCAGACAATTTTTGCCTATTTATTTATTATTATTGTTATTATTATTTTGGTACCAAGGATTTAACGCAGGAACACTTTACCACTGAGACACATCCCTAGTCCTTTTTATTTTTTTGAGGTAGGACTTCACTAAGTTGCTGAAGCTGGGATCAAACTTGCAATCCTCCTACCTCAGCTTCCAGTCACTGAGATTATAGGCATGTGCTCCACACCCAGCTATCTACCTGCAGCCCTTTTTAAAATTTAAAATTTTAAAAATAAATTTAAAATTTATTTTTCAGACAGGGTCTTGCTAAGTTGTTGATACTGGACTTGAAACTGTGATCCACCTGCCTCAGTCTCCAAAAATTGCTGGAATTTAGGCATGTGTCACCACACCTGGCACAAATGGAATTTTTTCCTGTGTCCTTCTTTTTATTTATACAATGTTTTCCCATGCTAGACCCCACACCCGCAAATAATGTGCCTCTCAGCTATATTCTAATCCCAAGACAGAATTAACTATTTCATTTGCTTTTCATCAGAACATAGAAAAGCAGGCCCTCAGAAAAAAAATAACTGAGACTTAGAATTTAATTTACATGTCTAAATAAATATAAATATTCTAACAAGCAATAATTTCACAATATTTTCAATTTAGGTATATATATTTTTTCAATTTAGACTTAGAAGTTAATTTTCATGCCTCAATGAATACAAATATTCTAACAAGTATTAATTTCACAATATTTCAATTTAGAGATATAAAGGTAAAACAGCGCAACTAAGTTTTTCTTCAGATTTATGTCCTAAAGGAATGCAATTTGACAAAGGACAGTAAAATAACTAGGAAAAAAAAAAAGAAATCAGGTTAATTCAAGGTTTATACTATTTTTTTGTTTGTAGATTCCTTTAATTCTTTTAAGAACCATAAAAATAGCTAAGTTACAGTGTTTAAGTGGCAATAACCCACTAAATTTTTCTGCCAGGTCTAAATATTCTGGGAAAATTAAAAACACAAGATACCTACCGAACGTGATTGCTGTGTTTGGAAAGGGACAAACTGGCCTGGTGGTGGCAAATGAGGAGGATGATGGGGAGAAAGGTGAGGAGGATGTATAAGAAATGGATCACTAGAAATGAGAGGTGGGAATGCAGCATATGGTACTGGCAAGTGCTGAACTGAACATGCCTGAAGCATCTGTAAGAAAAATTATTTTCTGGTTAAATATATCCAAATATATAATTAATTTTTAAAAAAGATACAATGTGATTAAAATCATTGCCATATTTCCCCCCAAATCATACAAAACATTTTAAATAACATTAAAAATAAAATACTTCTGTATTTTTGCATCTATCAGTATTAGTCAGAATATATAATTAGTTTTTTTAAAAGATACAACAGCATTCAAATTATTGCCATACCTCCCCCAAAATCATACAAAATATTTTTAATAACTTCTATTAAAAATCCTACTATATTTTTGTATCTATTAGTAAGTTACTATACTGATAAACTCATTTTAAATAATCTATTTTACATAGTTCTTCCAAATCAATTAAAATGCCTCTTGGGTTTTTTTAAATACTCATGAAATAGAAGGGTAGATACTATACAGAAAAGAACCCTCATTCTAGTCCTTTTAATATGTAGAAGACATTACTGTATTCTAAGAAGTTCTGTTTTTTCAATCTTGTAGAAATTTTTCTTTCTAGGGCCTTTTCTTATTAAAATTTTTTTTTTGTCTGGGCAGTACTGGAGATTGAACTCAGTGGTTCATGTGTGTTAGGCTCTACCTCTAAGCTACATCCAAGCTTGTTTTATAAGAGCACAACTTACAACTGCTTTATGGTTTGTATGTTGGCTGAAAATGGTTCTTACTGAGAAACCAAGTTTGGGTGAATTAATCTATTAAACTGGTACTAGGATATGTATATTTGCTTTAATCTCACATTCAGACCAGGTATTAGAATTATAGTTAGAATTTATTTATTTTTTGCCAAATGCTTTCCTTTAAAAACATTATTGATGTTAGTTAAATTATTTAGAGCCTCTGAATTTCAGCACCTTCATTTGTGAAATAGGTTGGACTGTACTTGGTCACATAAACTTCAGAGGCAAAAAGTAGTGGGTGTCAATCACTTTTTAGATTCAACATCTAGAAAATAGAGATGATAACTATTTCTATCACAGGGACCAGGCACTCAAAGTACCCATTAAAATCATTGCCCATAGGTGTTGACACTATTAACTGTTGAACATTACAGTGTCTGAGACTTAAGCCAACCTTTATCTATTTTGTTTTTGTTTTTTGGAGAAGGGGGAACTGAAGATTGAATTTGGGTGCTTTATCACTGAGCTACATTCTCAAACCTTTTCTTTTTTTTTTTCTTTTCTTTTTAAGACGGGGGGGGGGGGGGGGGTGTCTCATTAAGTTGCCAAGGCCCAAAACTTGCAATCCTCTTGCCTCAGCCTCTCAAGTCACTGGGACTACAGGCAGGCATCATGAACCTGGCTTTATCTAGCTTTAATTATAAACAGTATTTACATAGGAAGAAATATGGTTTGACAAGATATTCAATTAAATGTAAAATTTAAAATTCTGATTTAAAAAACACGATGTTTTAAAGCTACTTTTATTAAATGGTTACTAAAACCATGTTTTTGAGATTTTTTACTTGTAAGAGAAGCTACAAAGATACTCTCAAATTTTGTTTGCTTATGTAATACACATAGCCATTTTAAAAAGGGATTTGAGTAGTAAATGACAAATCCAAACACAGGTTGGTGTTTAATAGTTAAGATCTAATGAAAAGAAAGGCACAGACTTACTGGAGGAGGCACACTACAGACAGGGAGGTGTTGTCCACTGAAAACCACAGAGCATCCTGGGACCTGTTGTGTATTGCAAGCAGGAATGTGCTGGCCTGTGCAGAGTGGAATCCCATGTGGTGCCACTGTTGTTACTGTATAGGAAACAGGGACTGTTCCTTGATGGAGCTATTAGGGAAGAAAAATAAAACTTTAGCTATTTGGCTATAATGTTAATTATTAGAAATTAATATTTGGATATATATTAATTCTCCTTCTCAGATGCACAGGTTTTCATAATGTACTTCCTCCAGCAGTTTCAACCAGGATATACATGGTCTTTGTACAGGAAAGCTGACTATTCTAAGAATATATATGACCCTGGAAGAACTAGGACTAAACTTTTCCCTCAAAGAGACTTGAAAAGCTCAGAGTAATCTAAAGTTATAATAAATCTTCCAGCATGCCATGTAGAGCAGAAAACTTCTAAAAGGATAAACTTGTAAAAATGATAGTTTGTATACCTGGTTATAGTCGATGGAAAAAGATTTAATTCCAACTAGTGAAACAAAAGAAAATACTATTAAAAAATTATTTGGGATGGGGATATAGTTCAGCCATACAGGATTTGCCTAGCACATGCAAGGCTCTGAGACCATTCCCCAGCACTGACACCCAATATACACATAAAATTATCTCCTTGTAGCCAACTTTAGTCCCATCTTCCCCACCCTGAGGGCAAATAATGTTAATAACATATCCTCTTTCTCCATGAGCATATAAACATCTACAGTCATGCATATTGTTTTAACAGAAAATAAGTCATATTTCCCCTTTTCACTTAATTTTGTACCATAGATATGTATTTAACTTGTTTCTCTTGAGACTAGCCTTTGTTTTATTTGTTCTTATTTTTTTTAGTTCTGGCATTTGAACCCAGGTCCTTGAGCATGCTAGGAATGGGTTCTACCACTGAGCTATATCCCTAGCCCCTAGCACACCTGGTTAACAAAGTCCTATCATAGGATGATAATAGACATTTGAGTTGCTTTCACACTTTTGACAATACAAATGACTATTAAAAAAAAATACTACTTTATAGTACTGGTAGTTTTATTTATCTCAGAGGCACTACTGGGAAAAGGAGTGATGCTTTTAAAGATACTGTCAAAGCAGCCAAGCATGGTGGTACACACCTGTAATCCCAGTTACTTGGGAGGCCAAGGTAGGAGAATTACAAAATTAAGATCAGCCTTGGCAAGTTGACATGACTCTGCCTCAATCAATCAATCAATAAATAAATAAAAGGGCAGGGGATTTAGCTTAGTGGTAGAGTATCCCTGAGTTCAATCTCCAGTATGGGGGGAAAAAACCACAGATTTGCGGAAGTCATTCTCTCAGCAGTAGCATATGAGGACCCAATTCCCAGCATCTCTATTCAAAGATAAATTATTTGTATTAGAAACATGTTTACATATCCAGAAGGTGGAAACAAGCTATTTGTATGCTTGCCTCAAACTGGCACTCCTCTGATTAGAGAGGACGAACTTCTTTCAACACAGTTTATTACCATGTAGATTTTTTTCTATAAATAATCTATATATCCTTTGCTCACTGCCCGTTTTCTAGTTTGTCATAACCATTTTTAGTTTTGTTTTATTGTTTGTAGCCAAAATATATTTCCAGTCTATTTTACCTTTGCTCCTAAAATTTAACTGAATTAAAATTTATATTATTTTACAAAGTATTCAACTTTATATTAACCTTTTTATCTAGGAAAATTACACAACTATAGTCTTGTCCTTCAGAAATTAGTATTCTTTGTAAAATAGATATATTATATTATTACTTATTTATACAATTTATTTATTTATTTGGGGTGGTATTGGGGATTAAATCCAGGATCTCATGCATGCTAGGTAAGCACTTTACCACTAAACTAAAACCCCTAGCTAGATGTATTATTCTTTATTAAATTTGCCATTCAAAGTTCTTTTTAAATTCAAAGTTTTGTTATATTGTATTTTTCTCTATTTGCATGTCAAATCCATTTAGTTTTTGTACTAAGATACTGATTTGCATTTATGTATCTGAAATCTAGCAAACCTTAGCTACTATTTTTAAAAACTGGAGGGCTAAGGATGGAGCTCAATAGTAGAGAACTTGCCTAGCACGAATGAGGCCCTGAGTGCAACAATCAAACAACTAACTCCCCCCAATTAGATATTTTTCCTTTCTTATATCTGCTAAGAGTTAACTCAATTATTTAATTTTCTTGTCCTTTTTAAATATATACATATATTTTTTTAAATCCATTTTTAAATTTTTTTAGTTGTAGATGAACACAATCTTTTATTTATTTACTTTTATGTGGTGCTGAGGATCGAACCCAGGGTCTCACATGTGCTAGGTGATTGCTTTTACCACCAAAATACGACCCCAGCCCTTAAATATATTTTGAAAGTTCTATCTTGGGGCTGGGATGTGGCTCAAGCAGTAGCACGCTTGTTGTGTCCACCGATAAACTAAAAAATAAATATTAAAAAAAAATTCTCTCTCAAAAAAAGTTATATCTTACTATAGAGATAAATACATAAATATAGAAAACTTATATATACCTATCCTATATTTGACTTTAATGGAAATTATAAATTTTACTAATAAAAATTGACTGATTTCTGATACTTTGCCATAGTTTAAATATATTTCATTGAATCTCATGTCAATCATATCATGACTATTTTTTTAGTGTACTAAGAAAAATATTCCCAATTATGTGATATGACTTTATCACAGAAATTTTATATTTATAAATTTGTTAAAGGCATTGTAATAGAGACAACAGTTGTGTGTTCATAAAAAGGCAATTATAAGTAAAATAAAGTGGTTAGTCAATACTTCTTCACTTTTAGAGTCTGACTGTACTGAGTCACTTTTCCTCTCAATGTATATGTTTTTTCCAGAAGAAGGTTAGGGCCATCAAGGAGGTTGGTAATGCATCATTTCTTAAAATGATCAATAAAAGAAATAAAGGCTACTTGGTCCAGATTCTTTAGTCAGGTTTGTAATTATGTAGACTTGTCTACTTTTAACTTGTGCTTGGAGAATGAAGTTAACTCACCTCTCCCTAAAACACAGATTTGATGTTGGAACAAGCAAAAGCAATGACAACTATGTTATAAACTGCTGCCTGGCTGACACCAAATTAAAATGCTGTTAATTGTTAATCCAAACTTTAGAATGTTAAAAAATGAAACAGTATATTTTGGAATCAATAAAATATAACACACACCAAGATCCCCATGGAGTTCCATAAGAGATCCTTCCCAAAGTGACTTCACAGCCACTCCCTAATAACCTTGTCAAAGTAACCAATCCTGATTTTTGTGGTAATCTGTTTCTTTTAATGTCTGTACCACACCTAGATATACCTCCCCCCATAGTCTTGTGTTGATTAAATATATTTTAACTGCCTTCATGGTGACTATTTTTTCTAAAACAAAGACACAAAGTGTTGGGAAGTGATATTGACCAAGTTACGTTGTTACATTGTATGCAAGTACAAATGTGTAAAAACAAATCTCATCATTATGTACAACTATAATACACCAATAAAAAATGTGGGAAAAAAACAACTGTGGGGCTGGTGTTGTAGCTTAGTGGTAGAGTACTTGCCTGGCACATGTTAGGCACACTGGTTTCAATCCTTAGCACCACATTTAAAAAACAAAAACAAATGACAACTGTGGATATGTATACTCATTTCTTGTGTATATCAGAGTAGAATTGATGGATCATACAACAGATGTGTTTGACATTAGAAATTCTCCCACTATTTCCCAAAGTAATTATATCACGTTTTACTCCACCAGCAATGGAACTGCCAATCTTTTTCATTTTCCTATAGTGATTTGTAGGGTATCTTACTGCAATTTTAGTAATAAATTTTGTAAAGTTATTTTTATGTTATAGATCCTAGTCCTCTCTCAAATATAGTACTGTAAATATTTTCTTCCAAGTAGTGGCTTGTTACTTTTTGAATACTGTTTTTGGATAAGCAGGAAGTTTTAATTTTAATTAGTATTTCATGAAGTGTCTGGAGCTTCATATATCCTGATTAAGAAATCTCTGGTACCTCATAAAGAGATAATCTTTTTCATTAATAATTTTACTGGGCTGGGGTTGTGGCTCAGCGGTACAGCACTCACCTAGCACCTGCAAGGCCCTGGGTTCAATCCTCAGCACCGTGTAACAATAAATAAATAAAATAAAGGTATTGTGTCCAACTACAACTAAAAAAATAAATATTAAAAAAAATAATTTTACCTTTCACATTTAAATCTAGAATCCAATTTTAATTTTTGTATGTGACATGGAGTCAAGAATCCAGTGTTAAATTCATCTAAATGGATATCTGGTTGCTTCTGCATCATTCTTTTTGTTTAAAAAAAAAAAAGATCTTCCTCCCCCTTCTTGAATCCCTGTGGAATCTTTATTAAAAAAATTAAGTGGCCAATATATATTTACTTTTTACAATGAACACCATTTCTTTATTTCAATTAAGTATAATTTATCACTAGTTCTCTATTCAATCAGTGCTTTTCCTTTTAAGAAAGCCTTTCCCTACTGAAGGCTATAAAGCCATTTCTTTGTTATTTTCTTGAAAGGTTATTATTTTGCCTTTAATACTTAACTCTTTAATCTACCTGGACTTTACCACTGTGAATAGTGTGAGGTAAAGGCTCTATTTTCACATTTTCTTTTGGATACCCAATTGTCCTAGCCCCATTTATAAAAATTCTGAGAGGGATACAGTGACACATGCCTATAATTAATCCCAACTGTTTGAGAGGCTTACGCAGGAGGATCACAAGTTTGAGGCCAGCCCTGAGCAACTTAATGAGACCCTATCTCAAAAAGAAAAAGGGCTGGGGATGTAGCTCAGTTGTAGACGTCCCTGGATTCAATCTCCATTACTTATTTTTAAGTATTTTAGGTTTGCTGGCCATCCTGATTTCTGCACTAAGAAACCATAGACAACAGATAAACAAATAAGCACATGCTCATGCTCATGTTGCTTATTTCACCACAATAAGCTACATTTGTTTTCTCCTGCTACAGACTATATAAGGTCCTTTAAACCGCCACAGAAATTATATGATCAACTTTTCAAGTTACATCAATAATCTTATTAGAGATTTATATGGGATCACATTAGTTCTATATATATCAATTTTGAAAACTGACAACTGGAAATTTTATTTAAACTTCCTCAAGTGTGTTACAATATTTTACAAAAAGGTCTTGAACAACTTGTTCGGATTGATTCTTAACTTCCCTCATAAAATACTTTGATTTTTTCACTGTTATTTTTCTTTGAACTTTTATTTTGTGTAGAATTCAAAGTTCTTCATTTTAAGAGTTACAATTAAATAAAATAGCGAATTTCAGGTAAAATTACAAAGAAATTTGCAACACAGAATCAAGCAATCAAAAAAGCAACCAACTTTTATCATTTGTATTTCTGGAACATTCTGTTATTATACCTGATCATGTATGTCAACCATTACTGCATTCTGCTGGGGTGGATGAGCAGCAGGATGTAACAGACGGGGAGATACATTCGGAGGGTGGAAGGCTCGAGGTTCCTCTATTGCTTGCTGCTGTGCATAAGGGAGATGGTGATAGTTTTCATCCTGACTAATGGAATTATGTCGAGACAGACGATCCCTTCTTCCTCTCTGGCGCCTGACAGGAGGACTGAAACAGTAAATGTCAAAAAAGAGGGTCATTCAAGCAGGAGTGTCCATACTCATATCAAATAAAATAGATTTCAAGCCAAAGTTAATCAAAAGGGATAAAGAGGGACACTACATACTGCTTAAGGGAACCATACAACAAGACATAACAATCATAAATATTTATGCCCCAAACAATGGTGCAGCTATGTTCGTCAAACAAACTCTTCTCAAGTTCAAGAGTCTAATAGACCACCATACCATAATCATGGGAGACTTCAACACACCTCTCTCACCACTGGACAGATCTTCCAAACAAAAGTTGAATAAGGAAACTATAGAACTCAATAACACAATTAATAACCTAGACTTAATTGACATATATAGAGTATACCACCCAACATCAAGCAGTTATACTTTTTTCTCAGCAGTACATGGATCCTTCTCAAAAATAGATCATATATTATGTCACAGGGCAACTCTTAGACAATATAAAGGAGTAGAGATAATACCATGCATCTTATCTGACCATAATGGAATGAAACTGAAAATCAACAATAAAAGAAGGAAGGAAAAAGCATACATCACTTGGAGAATGAACAATAGGTTACTGAATGATCAATGGGTTATAGAAGACATCAAGGAGGAAATTAAAAAATTCTTAGAGATAAATGAAAACACAGACACAACATATCGGAATCTATGGGACACATTGAAAGCAGTTCTAAGAGGAAAATTCATTGCTTGGAGTTCATTCCTTAAAAAAAGAAAAAACCAACAAATAAATGATCTCATACTTCATCTCAAAATCCTAGAAAAAGAAGAGCAAAACAACAGCAAAAGAAGTAGAAGGCAAGAAATAATTAAAATCAGAGCTGAAATTAATGAAATCGAAACAAAAGAAACAATTGAAAAAATTGACAAAACTAAAAGTTGGTTCTTTGAAAAAATAAACAAAATCGACAGACCCTTAGCCATGCTAGCGAAGAGAAGAAGAGAGAGAACTCAAATTACTAGCATACGGGATGAAAAAGGCAATATCACAACAGACACTTCAGAAATACAGAAGATAATCAAAAACTATTTTGAATCCTTATACTCCAATAAATTAGAAGATAGTGAAGGCATAGATAAATTTCTTAAGTCATATGATCTGCCCAGATTGAGTCAGGAGGATATAGACAACCTAAACAGACCAATATCAATTGAGGAAATAGAAGAAACCATAAAAAGACTACCAACTAAGAAAAGCCCAGAACCGGATGGGTATACAGCAGAATTTTACAAAACCTTTAAAGAAGAACTAATACCAATACTTTTCAAGCTACTTCAGGAAATAGAAAAAGAGGGAGAACTTCCAAATTCATTCTATGAGGCCAACATCACCCTGATACCTAAACCAGACAAAGACACTTCAAAGAAAGAAAACTACAGACCAATATCTCTAATGAACCTAGATGCAAAAATCCTCAATAAAATTCTGGCAACTCGGATACAAAAACATATCAAAAAAATTGTGCACCATGATCAAGTAGGATTCATCCCTGGGATGCAAGGCTGGTTCAATATACGGAAATCAATAAATGTTATTCACCACATCAATAGACTTAAAAATAAGAACCATATGATCATCTCGATAGATGCGGAAAAAGCATTCGACAAAGTACAGCATCCCTTTATGTTCAAAACTCTAGAAAAACTAGGGATTAACAGGAACATACCTCAATATTGTAAAAGCAATCTATGCTAAGCCTCAGGCTAGCATCATTCTGAATGGAGAAAAACTGAAGGCATTCCCTCTAAAATCTGGAACAAGACAGGGATGCCCTCTCTCTCCACTTCTGTTCAACATAGTTCTCGAAACACTGGCCAGAGCAATTAGACAGACGAAAGAAATTAAAGGCATCAAAATAGGAAAAGAAGAACTTAAATTATCACTATTTGCAGATGATATGATTCTATACCTAGCAGACCCAAAAGGCTCTACAAAGAAACTATTAGAGCTAATAAATGAATTCAGCAAAGTGGCAGGATATAAAATCAACACGCATAAATCAAAGGCATTCCTGTATATCAGCGACAAATCCTCTGAAATGGAAATGAGGACAACCACTCCATTCACAATATCTTCAAAAAAAAAATAAAATACTTGGGAATCAACCTAACAAAAGAGGTAAAAGACTTATACAATGAAAACTACAGAACCCTAAAGAGAGAAATAGAAGAAGATCTTAGAAGATGGAAAAATATACCCTGTTCATGGATAGGCAGAACTAACATCATCAAAATGGCAATATTACCAAAAGTTCTCTATAGGTTTAATGCAATGCCAATCAAAATCCCAACGGCATTTCTTGTAGAAATAGAGAAAGCAATCATGAAATTCATATGGAAAAATAAAAGACCCAGAATAGCAAAAACAATGCTAAGCAGGAAGTGTGAATCAGGCGGTATAGCGATACCAGACTTCAAACTATACTACAGAGCAATAGTAACAAAAACAGCATGGTACTGGTACCAAAACAGGTGGGTGGACCAATGGTACAGAATAGAGGACACAGAAACCAATCCACAAAACTACAACTATCTTATATTTGATAAAGGGGCTAAAAGCATGCAATGGAGGAAGGATAGCATCTTCAACAAATGGTGCTGGGAAAACTGGAAATCCATATGCAACAAAATGAAACTGAATCCCTTTCTCTCGCCATGCACAAAAGTTAATTCAAAATGGATCAAGGAGCTTGATATCAAATCAGAGACACGCCGTCTGATAGAAGAAAAAGTTGGCTACGATCTACATTCGGTGGGGTCGGGCTCCAAATTCCTCAATAGGACACCCATAGCACAAAAGTTAATAACTAGAATCAACAAATGGGACTTACTCAAACTAAAAAGTTTTTTCTCAGCAAAAGAAACAATAAGAGAGGTAAATAGGGAGCCTACACCCTGGGAACAAATCTTTACTCCTCACACTTCAGATAGAGCCCTAATATCCAGAGTATACAAAGAACTCAAAAAATTAGACAATAAGAGAACAAACAACCCAATCAACAAATGGGCCAAGGACCTGAACAGACACTTCTCAGAGGAGGACATACAGTCAATCAACAAGTACATGAAAAAATGCTCACCATCTCTAGCTGTCAGAGAAACGCAAATCAAAACCACCCTAAGATACCATCTCACTCCAGTAAGATTGGCAGCCATTATGAAGTCAAACAACAACAAGTGCTGGCGAGGATGTGGGGAATAGGGTACACTTGTACATTGCTGGTGGGACTGCAGATTGGTGCAGCCAATTTGGAAAGCAGTATGGAGATTTCTTGGAAAGCTGGGAATGGAGCCACCATTTGACCCAGCTATTCCCCTTCTTGGTCTATTCCCTAAAGACCTAAAAAGAGCATGCTACAGGGACACTGCTACATCGATGTTCATAGCAGCACAGTTCACAATAGCAAGACTGTGGAACCAACCTAGATGCCCTTCAACAGACGAATGGATAAAAAAAATGTGGCATTTATACACAATGGAGTATTACTCTGCATTAAAAAATGACAAAATCATAGAATTTACAGGGAAATGGATGGCATTAGAGCAGATTATGCTAAGTGAAGCTAGCCAATCCCTAAAAAACAAATGCCAAATGTCTTCTTTGATATAAGGAGAGTAACTAAGATCAGAGTAGGGACGAAGAGCAGGAGAAGATGATTAACATTTAACAGGGATGAGAGGTGGGAGGGAAAGGGAGAGAGAAGGGAAATTGCATGGAAATGGAAGGAGACCCTCAGGGTTATACAGTGGAGGGGGTAGAGAGAGAGGAGGGGAGGGGAGGGGAGAGGTGGGGAGGGGGGAGGGTGGAGGATGGGAAAGGCAGCGGAGCACAACAGACACTAGCATGGCAATATGTAAATCAATGGATGTGTAACTGATGTGATTCTGCATTCTGTGTATGGGGTGAAGGTGGGAGTTCATAACCCACTTGAATCAAAGTGTGGAATATGATATGTCAAGAAATTTGTAATGTTTTGAACAACCAACAATAAAAAAAAAAAAAAAAGAGGGTCATTCAAAGGCACTAAAAACATACACTGGAGAAATGATAGCAAATGGTCCTGGGAAAAATTGAAATCCATACGCAACAAAATGAAATTAAAAATCTCTCTCTCACCATGCACGAATCTCAACTCAAAGTGGATTAAGGACCTCGGAATTAAATCAGAGACCCTGCACCTAATAGAAGAAAGAGTAGGCCCAAATCTCCATCATGTCAGATTAGGCCCCAACTTCCTTAATGAGACTCCTACAGCACAAGAATTAAAATCAAGAATCAAGAAATGGGATGGATTCAAATTAAAAAGGTTCTTTTCAGCAAAAGAAACAATTAGTGAGGTGAATAGAGAGCCTACATCTTGGAAGCAAATTTTTACCTCTTGCGCATCAGATAGAGCACTTAATCTCTAGGGTATATAAAGAACTAAAAGCTAAACACCAAAAAAACAAATAGCCCAATCAATAAATGGGCCACGGAACTGGACAGACACCTTTCAGAAGATGATATACAATCAAACAGCAAATATATGAAAAAATGTTCAGCATCTCTAGCAATTAGAGAAATGCAAATCAATACTACTCTAAGATTTCATCTCACTCCAGTCAGAATGGCAGCTATTAAGAACACAAACAATAAGTGTTGGCAAGGATGTGGGGAAAAAGGCACACTCATACATTGCTGGTGGGACTGCAATCTGGTGTAGCCAATCTGGAAAGCAGTATGGAGATTCCTTGGAAAACTGGGAACAGAACCACCATTTGACCCAGCTATCCCACTCCTTGGTCTATACCCAAAGGACTTAACAGCATACTACAGGGACACAGCCACATCAATGTTTATAGCAGCACAATTCACAAATAGCTAAACTGTGGAACCAACCTAGATGCCCTTTCAATAGATGAATGGATAAAGAAAATGTGGTGTATATATATACACAATGGAATATTACTCAGCAATAAAAGAGAATA